GGGCGGCTCGCGCGCGGCTGCCGCGCGCATGCGCGGTGTCCTGCAGCCCGCGCCGTCAGCGGCGCGCGCCTGCGAGCGGAGGCGCGGGCCCTGCCCTCCCCCCGCCTCTCGGTGCCGCCACCATTTTGTGCCGCAGCGGCAGCTCCTCGCCGTTGTTTCCACCGTGCCCAGCTCCGCGCGCGCGAGGCGGAAAAGCGGCCCCATGACGGAGAGCCACTCAGCGGCCGGGCAGGCGGAGTCTGCGTCCCTGTGTGGGTCCGGGGCGCCCGGCGCGGAGCCCGAGACGCGGCGCCTGAGCGAGCTGCGCGTGATAGACCTGCGGGCCGAGCTGCGGCGCCGCAACTTGGACAGCGGCGGCAACAAGAGCGTCCTCATGGAGCGGCTCAGGAGGGTGAGCGCGGCGGCCCCGCTGCGGAAAACGGCGCCAAGCGGCTGCGGAGGCGGCCGGGGCGCCCCGGCGGGCTCGGTGCCTGCGGGCCGGGGCCCCACGGGCACGAGCCGAGGCCCCGGGGCGGCCCCTTGTCCTGCCCCGCTCGTGGAGCGCAGCGCGGGGGCCTCGCGCGCCTTCCCGCGCTGCGTGGGGCCGCCGTGTTTGCAGATCCGCCCGCTGCGCTTCGTGCTGCGCGCCTCAGCGCTCGCGGCTGTGCTCGGGTCGGCTCCAGGCTGTGTGGCAGGCTCGCGGCCATAGGGCTGTTTCACCTATCCGAGCTTTGCCGTCCCTTAGAGCTGGGGTAATTCCTCTCTCCCGACACTGTAGGTACCTATCTGGTCCAAGCGACACAGCCACCCCATGGTCAATGTTGGCTAAACGATGGTCAGAATATCTTTGCGTGGCTTATCCAGTTCTGTCTCAAGGGCCTTATTTTCTTCCTATGCATTCATCTAGCAGCCTTTATATTGGGTATTGATGTTAATTCCGTGTGATTTAAGGCAAAAGACTCTTGTTTTTGTATTTTTTCCCCCATTGTTCAATTCCTAACTCAACAGAAATGCAGTTTCATATCTGTCTTTTATCTCTGTTTCTTTCCCAATAGGCTATTGAGGAGGAAGGGGGAGATCCTGATGAAATTCCAATGGTTTCAGAGAATATAACCAAGAAAACTCCAAAAAGAAGCAGCAAAGGTACAGGGGACTTAAATAGGACTCCTTCACTTTCTGACGGCACAACCCATGATGGTGGGACTTTGGAAAAATGCCTTTGCCTGATTTTTGGCACTTTTGCAGCATGTTTTGCACTCCTGAAAATGTAGGATATAGTAGTTGCTGAGCCAAATTCAGGCCAAATGGGTGTTTTGAAAAAACTTAAGCACAGGTGAAATGTCTCTTGTTCAGTCCTTGACCTTGAATGCCATATGTTGCTGGTACCCTTTCTCACACTTGCAGGTAGTTTTAGGGGGTTRATGGTAAGGTGATAGACCAACTGACCATTTATTCATACAACTTTGTATAGTTTCAAAAAACTAGATTTTTTTTCTACCCCAAATATTTGTTGATTTGTTTTCAAAGTTCTTTGAGATTCAAAGTAGTAATTAATAYGTAGTTCTGAAGCAGTATATGTAAACTAGATGAATGCATCATTATGTTACTGTAGTTTTATTTTGAGAAGCACGAAAAGGTGCTTCCCTCCCTTCCCCTCCCCAAGGTAAAAATACTGCTTGCAGATGCAGCTAGCTCTGTACTTGGTTACACATGTGTTTTCCATAGTCTCATTTCTTTCCTGGAAGARTAGTTTTTAAGCAGGATGTTGGGGTTTTGTGTGTGTGTGTGTGTTTGTGTGTATGCTTGTTTATTTGTTTTGTTTTCATATTTCTCTGTATATAATTTTCCAGTGGTGAAAAGGACTCTTTCTTTAAAAAAAAAAAATTACAATGTAAGACTTGCTATTGTTCTAAAATTAGTTATGTCTTAGGGCAGTTGGTGAGCTTTTTCTGTTTTACAGTAATATTGAAATTCGATTTTATATTGGAGCTGAACGGAATAGTTAGAATGAGYGTTTATAATTAAATTGTGGTGAAGCTTGAGTTTTTATCTGACTAAATTGTTTGGCTCGAGCTGTTTGCTGATGTGTGTCAGGTCTTCCTTCCCCTAGGAATTTTCTGGAAAGAAATGAAGGCTTAAGATGRTAAATGATTGTACTCTGAGCTAAGCTAAATATTGTGGGGAGTATGCAGTTCTGCTTCTTTAAATCTCGTGAAGGATCTTGGACTGCAGCTTGTTTGTGTCTTTGTTACTTAGCAAATTGGGATGCTAAATAAACACTAGTTGTCAAAAATAAGGAGAAATAGGTATTCCATTCAATTTGGCAATGTAATCTGGAGAAAGGGACTAGAACTTGAAGGTCACACATTCTTGGCTTTTTTCATTTTGACAATCATAATATTACTAGGACGTAGACCAGAAGAAGAGGGAGTTGAAGATAATGGCCTGGAGGAGGATTCAGGAGATGGACAGGTATGTGAAGCCTTGTTTGAGGTGAAGTATAATAGTGTTGCATTCAAGTTRCAATGACTATCATACATCCTTTTTTTCTTTTTGCAGGAGGATGTTGAAGCAAGTTTGGATAACTTGCAGGATATTTACATGATGGATATTAGTGTGTTAGATGAAGCTGAAATAGATAATGGCAATGCTGTAGATTGCGGAGAGGATTACAGTGCTGATATTATTCTTGACTCACTGTGTGATAGTAAAGAAAATGCTGATGCAGAAACGAAACAACTTCCAGATCAGCCTACAGAATATGCTGTAGGTAACTTGGAGGCATCCCCACAATATTCAGAAATTAAAGAAGAATCAAGAGAAATACCAGTAGTGATGGTATGCATCTCTTACATGTGTGGAATCAGATTTTTTTTCTTCCTTCAAATTAAATAATAAATAGTACCTAAAGAGTAGTAGAAGTAATTTAGAACCGTGAGTTCTTGTGATCACTGATTTATTTTGTTTGTTTTTCTTGTATCTGTTTGTAGAAATAGCATTCTTGATTTTTAAAATGTTTAGATGTTGTTTGCATGCATCATGTTACTATATCGATTAATAGTAATCAAGAAAACATTGTTTTAATTGTGATTGGAGCTYTCTGCTTTACTTGATATTTACATTCCCATTTTCATATCTTTATTTAGGAGGACACTGAGGCATGCAAATGCCGTAGTTTTGTTTACATCACTAACTTCAGCTGAACAGCAGTATACTGGGAACTATATCCTACTTCTTTGTTGTTGTTGTTAAGATTGGATCCCACTATTGTTGAATTTTTAAGAGTATTTTTATGTTGTTCTGTGTTTGTCTTGATAGTGAATAGATTTTACAAATTTGTCCATCTGTGCTGGAAGATAAACTCCTTTTCCCCCAGCCCCTAGTCAAGAGATCTTTTTTCCTGAGACATACAATGAGGCATTTAATGGAAATTATGATTAATTGTGAGCACATTGTGTCATGAATTTTTAGAATTGCAGAATTGAGTGTGGGTTTTTCCCCCCCTAAATCTGAAAATTGGGAAAGATTAATCCCTTATACCCAACAGCACCCCTTCCACACCACCTTTCAAATTGAAATAGCAAGGAAATAGTTCTTCTCAGTGATTAAAGCTGTCAGAGTCTAGGAATTCTATGATTCTTTTTCCTTTTTCCCTGTCACAAAGGCTTTCTGACTCAGTGTTGTTGCTATAAATTGYATATAAGTAGTAAGAACAACTTTGCTGTCCTTAAATGTTTCTGTGAGTAGAGCAGCATATTTTGGAAGGGCTGGGAAAGCTCACCCAGTCATTAGGGAGTGGAAGGTGTGTGTAGGTAATTGGTCAGTTTTTAACATTAATGGTTGTTAGAAATACTTCTTTAGGATTGGTTCTCAATGAAAACAATTTTCAATCTTTCAATTTCTTCTTCAAATTTAATTTATAATGGCTTTTTCTAGATAATGAAATGCCTTCTAATTATTTCTTTCAAGGTAGAGGTTGAAGATGCTGGAAACAGTATGGATGCTGTTTCATCCGATTTAACTGTGATAAAGGTAAATCGTCCCTTTATTATTTACAAAATTATTTACAAAAAGAGGGATAATGCCTACYGTGTAAATGCTGAAGCTGTGTATTTACAGGAAGTAAAAAGTAATATGTTCTATTCCTCAAACACTAGGAATAAATGCCATTCTGGTTTAAGCATGCAAACAGACATCTGGAAGTGCCTTTGAATTTGAGTGTAGAGTTCGGAGTCTTATCTGCTGTGTATGCTAAAGCAGTGCCCTACATTTATAGTTTAGCTTCAATTAGATAACGTARCTTTACAGTGTTGGCATAAAACTGATCTTATCCCTGAACTCTGAGCCTTGGTTTTCCGACCAATGAGTATTGTTTGAGATCACCTGTAACTGCAGATTGAGCTGATATTTCTACAGAACCCATTTTCGGAAAGTAGAGTTGTAAGAATCTGTTTAGGGAAGGGCATCATGGGYATCAGTGTTTGGTAGCATATTAATCTGTACCACTGCTATTTACTGATTTTATTTACCCTTGTGAAAGATAACTGTCCTATATAGRTATGAAGATGTTGAAAATTACCACTGTGTCTTCAGCATGTGTCTGAATTCAAGAGATTTTGAAGTTCTAACAGTTTTTTCATAACACCGTCTTGAAGTGATGTGTTGCTTTTGTCTATTTCCCTACAGGAAATTGAAGAACTACCCTTGGAGCCAGGTACTGTTGTGTTTGTGGCTTTCTTTTCTTTTTCTTTTTTTTCTTTTTTTTCTCCTTTTTTGTTGTTTGTTTGCTTGCTTTTGTTTTAACAGCAACAAACCCTAATTCTTGAGACAGTTTCATTCTTCGTATATTCTTATTTTGTGTCCCAGTTTGGCTTTTTAA